GAAAAAAAAAAAAAAAAAAAAAAGTATATCTTATAGTTGTATTTCAAAAACTGAATGCTCAACCTCGAGAACTGTACAAAAAAACTGTGAAACAACTGTAAGGAAACATTTCCAAAGGAGATGAAGGACTGTGCTGACAGCTGGGGAGGGGGTGGCTCTCACCAGCGGTGTCTGTAAACTGATGTTGCAGCACTTGGTAAATTTCACAGCGTTTCTCCCGGGCCGGGGCTCTGTCTGACTGTCTGACTGTCTGACTGTCCAGCACGCAGTGTGGTTTTATCGTGGTGGCTCCCCTGGTGCCACCGGAGCTGTGTGGGAGCCGTGTCCCCTCTGTCACAGCCCCGTGGCTGCGCTGGGGCCACACGGGTGATGGCACCGGGAGGGACAGAGGCTGTGCCCCGGTGTGCCCAGGTGTGCCTGGGGTGGAGTGTCATGGTGTGCTCCGTGTGCCCAGGGTGGGGTGTCATGGTGTGTCACGGTGTGCCCGGGTGTGCTTGGTGTGCCTGGTGTGCCCGGAGTGTCTGGGGTGCCCCAGAGTGCCTGGTGTGCCCGGTGTGTCACAGTGTGCCTGGAGTGTCACAGTGTGCCCCAAATGTCACGGTGTGCCCGGTGTGTGCCCGGTGTGCCTGGTGTGCCCGGTGTGCTCGGTGTGCTCGGTGTGTCACGGTGTGTCCAGTGTGTCACAGTGTGTCACGGTGTGCCCGGTGTGCCCTGCTGTGCCCCAGACTGCCTGGTGTGCCCGGTGTGTCATGGTGTGCCTGGGGTGGGGTGTCACAGTGTGTCACAGTGTGCCCCGGAGTGCCCGGAGTGTCACAGTGTGCCATGGTGTGCCTCGGTGTGCCCGGTGTGTCACAGTGTGCCCAGGGTGTCATGGTGTGCCTGGTGTGCCTCGAGTACCCCGGAGTGCCCCGGTGTGCCCTGTGTGTCACAGTGTGCTCAGTATGCCTGGGGTGAGGTGTCATGGTGTGCCCTGGTGTGCCCGGTGTGTCACAGTGTGTCACGTTGTGCCCTGGTGTGTAACGGTGTGCCCTGGTGTGTAACGGTGTGCCCGGTGTGTCACGGTGTGCCCGGTGTGTCACAGTGTGCCTCCAAGTTCCCTGGTGTGCCCCGTGTGCCCCGTGTGCCCCGGTGTGCCCTCTGTCACAGCCCCGTGGCTGCGCTGGGGCCGCACGGGTGATGGCACCGGGAGAGGCAGAGGGGGTGCTCAGAGTGCCCCGGTGTGCCCAGTGTGTCACAGTGTGTCACGGTGTGCCCGGTGTGCCTGGAGTGTCACAGTGTGCCCGGTGTGTCATGGTGTGCTCAGGGTACCCGGTGTGTCACGGAGTGCCCCGGTGTGCCTTGAGTGCCCCGGTGTGCCCCGGTGTGTCACGGTGTGCCCGGAGTGCCCCGGTGTGCCCCCAGTGTGCCCCGGTGTGTCACAGCCAGCACTGCCACCCACGTGTGTCCACGTGTCAGACAGGGACAGGGCCCGTCCAGGAGAAATGTCACCGCCAGACCATGGGGATAGGAAAAAGCACAGCGATACAGACAGACACACACACACACACACACACGTTTGTTTGCACTCTCGGAGTCTTGGGGTAAGGACTGTTCGATGCCTATTACCAGAATTAGAATGTAAACATCGGGTTTTTTCTGGGATTGGGGTGGGTGGGGCGGGGCTCGGTTAATTTAGTGGGGTTTGGTTTTGTTTATTTGTTTGTGTTGTGGTTTTGATTTGGGTAGCACTGATGTGGAGAAGGTTCTGGCTTCGTAAAACATGGGTCTGTTGCTCTAGGACACAGAAACTCCTAGGAAAAAGAAATACAGTTGCCAAATGAAAGCTTTTAAAAATCTAGTTTACAAGAGTGTTAAAAGGAGAGAAAGAAGGAAGTCAACGACCCATCATGTTTTTGACCTGCAGGAAACAGAAACTTCTCACTGTCTGATCTTAGTCAAAGGTGCATTTTCTAAAGCACTTAATATCCTCAGTTAAGTATAAGGTTTTTAATACAGAMGAAACAAATTGTGCATGTAGAGTATTTTGAAATACCTGAGATTTCATAGTAAAAACTGTAGCCTTTTAATACCGTATATGAAGTATCAGAACTGCTTTGGAAGTATTGTACTTACAACCGTACAGTAACTTACTATTTGTGGACAGTTTCTCTTGCTTGCATAATAAACATTTAATAATTCACTGAATTTAAATGTATTTTATTTATGTTCGAATGAGCCATGCTCACTGGTTCTTGCCTGCCTCCCTAAAATTAAGAGGAAAAACACCTCCTGCAGCTGCAGCTGTTAAGTGTGTGTGTGCRTGTGTCACAGTAGTGCTTTTCCATGAAATTTGTTTTCAAAATTACATAGGAGGAGTCAAAATTAACTCTGAACCTTAGACTAGGGCTCCACTCCTTCATTTTTGCTGGGGTTGTGCTGGGCATTGACCAGCTCTGGGCTTGTGCCAAACTCTCACCCTCCACACCTCGGCTTCCCCAGCATTGCAGGAGCACAAAACATTTTCCACAGAGGAACAGGATGCAGATTTTTTTTTTATTCCATCAAGGAGTGATTACAAAAACAAATGGTACACTGGTAAAAATCAGATTCTGCCAGTAACAAACATCCAGTAAACATTTTATTTAGAAGCAGATAATCACCACTGGGATACAGGAACTCGTGCTTGTGCCCACCCATTGCTGGCTGTGAAGCTCAGGACTGTATGATTACAACACACTGATTAGAATCCCTTTTGGAAGACTGTTTAGCAAATGGAAAAGTCAAATTTAGAAAAGCAACAGCCCCTCCAAGACTTAAGAAAAGAATTGAAAGCAGTTTCTGAAAGCCTTGCTGCTCCCCATCATCCATAGTGTTTTGGTTTATATAWGAATGTATAATTTAATTAAAAAGGAAGTGCTCAGAGAGATTGAAACACTTTTTGCTGAGACACTCATCTYGCTCAGGGTTGTGCTTGCTCTTCTGTCCCTGTATCTAAGGCCTGAAGTCTTTCATCTCTCAGCTCCCACCTCTGTAAGACACACAGTTTTCCTATTTCTGTCARTCCTTTCCAATACTTGCCTACAGAAGTCCTGAAACTTCTCCAAAACCTGTCTTCCTGCTTCCAAGGTCATCTTTGGCTTTCCAACTCCGCTACACCTACAGACCTCTGCTGAAGCAGGCAGCCCAGGAACCTCACCTYGTCTGTGCCACTCTGGCAGAACTGTCAACAGCACACAGCAAGCAGGCAGAACCCCGAGTTTTGGGTAAAAACATCTCGTGATCTGTAATCCCACAGAGGGAAYTGAGAAGAGACAAGAGGCTGCAGTGCAAAAAGCCGTGTGTGAAGTGCTTGAGCAGCTGCAGGAGCTGGAGAGTCCCATCAGCGTTACAGACACAGACATCTCCATGGCCCTGTAGCTGAGGCAACAGAAAAAGCAGCAATGCAAAAAAACCCCCAAAACTCTCAAAAAAAAAAAAAAAAAAAAAGCGCGGAACTACCATGTTTTTTTTTAACAAGGAAGGACACTTTAAAGCTTTAGTCAGTTTGCTGTTCCATTTCTTCCACTTCTTCTTTTTCACAGGAAGGCACACGGACACGCACACGTACACACACACACACACACACGGATCCAGCCTGGGCTGAGGTCACACGTTCAGTGCCACGGCTGGAGGACAATGTCACCACAGCCACATCTCACAGTGGCTGCAGCACGCTGAGGTGCAGCTGGGAGCTCTGCACTTCAGTCATCCCCTTTTGGATCTGTCCTTTGAGCTTTACACAGTTAGGACTCCAAAACATCTGAAAAATGCAGTTCCAAAATCGACATTTGGAAGATGATCAAGCAATGGAATTTTCTTCAGCCCCTCCTTGATTCTCACGTTCTAAACATGGGCAGTGGAGCGCATCCCATCACAGAGCACTACGGAATTTTGGGAGTGATGCAGAATAATACAAGTATGTTTGTTTTTTTCTTTTTTTTTTCAGACTTTGTACTTGTCTAGTAGCTCTGTTACGGGTAAACTCACCTGCCAGCAAAGGAATACTTTAAAAAAAGTTCATTGTAATTGCACCAAGGTTTAAATGCATCACCATTCACCCCATAAATAGCAAAGGCCGGGAGGAATTACCTGTCACATGCACAGGCACTGTTCCCTGGTACCGAGGACACTGCGAGTACCAACACCCCACGAGCAGCACGGGGGTCACAGCAGCTTCAGCAGGAACTCGTAGGTGGCGTTGATGATCCCCCAGGACAGCACAGAGCGGTGGTAGTTCAGGTGGGCTCCTCTAAAGAGGTGGATCAAYTTCCTATCGCGTTCCAGCCAGATCTTCACTAACACTTTGGAGAAGGACTGGAATTCGCCACCGATCTGAGCTTGCATGCGAGTTTTTACCACGTTGATCGGGAAGAAGAGGAAGCCCAGCACGGCGCCCAGCAGCCCCCCGCAGATGAAGTCGTTGACCAGGTTGGAGCTGTACGAGGTGGCCTCGGGCAGACACTGCTTGATGGGCCCACGCAGCCCGAAGAAAAGCACATTGCTGGGCCCGTTCCGCAGCAGAATCGGCACCAATCCCCGGTAATACTCCCGCATCCCGTAAGCTTTCAGCACCTTGAAAGCCTGGTAAGTGTTTGTGAACTTATCGTGGTGCTTGTAGTCCTGCAGCAGCGTCTGCACGCGCTCGAAGGGCGTCAGCACGGCCTCGGTGGTGCCGGCCAGCGCCGCCGCCGCGCTGCGCGTCAGCAGCTCGGGCGCTCGGGCGTGGCTCAGCAGCAGCGCCGAGAAATCCTCGTAGAGGCCGAACATGAGCGCCAGCGTGGTGGTTTTCTGCATGAGCGGGGGCAGCACGCCGCGGTACAGCGTGCGCAGCCCGTCCCGCCGCAGCTGCCGCACCGCGTCCTGCGTGCGCAGCCCGTACAGCTGCTGCCGGAACAGAACCTTCTGGATGGGGAACGTCACCGCGATGTTGGTGAACGCCGCGCAGTACCCGCACACGTAGTGCTTCCCCGAGGCGCCAGAAGGGTCCTGGATCGAGGGGTCCGCGGGGGAAGAGCTTTGCGGGGCCATGGCTCCGCTCTGGACGTGCGGCGTGGCTCAGTGATTCTTCCCTGTGTCAAAAAAACGAGCGGTGTGAGTGAGGGAGCGTGTGAATATTCAAATACCCCGGGAAAAATAACCTCATGGAGCTTGAAGGGGGAAAGCGACAAATGCCAGCACTGACAGACGTTAAAAATGAAGTTTGAAGGGGGAAAAGCAACAAATGTCAGTACTGATAGCCATTAAAAATGAAGTTTGAACGGGGAAAAGCAACAACTGTCAGTACTGACGGATGCTGTGCCGTTTCTGCTCAAGTCTAGGAGACAGTAAAAAGCAGCAGTTTTTCCTTTTTGTACACATTCAAATGAAAACAGAAATAAATCAGGAGAAATTGCCCCTGAAATTACATATTCCAGCGATAACACGTTGACCCTCACACTAACAAAACACAACAGAAATAAATCAGGAGAAATTCCCCCTGAAATTATGTATTCCAGCAGTGACAGGTTGATCCTCACACTAATGAAACACTGTGTGGACAGAAATAAATCAGGAGAAATTCCCCCTGAAATTACATATTCCAGCGGTAACACGTTGACCCTCACACTAACGAAACACAACAGAAATAAATCAGAATAAATTACCCTGGAATTACATATTCCAGCAGTGACAGGTCGGCCCTCACTCTAGTAAAACACTGAGTGGACAAGTGTGTGCCAAAAAAACCCAAAAGTGAATCAAACACGTGCAGCAGCATTACAAAACCTGATCCTTGTACTCTGCCTCTCCTTGGGGCAGGAAAGGACAGATAAATAAAACACTTTGTGGTGGTTCAACCCAGCCCAGCCACAAGAGATGCACAGGTGTCACACAGGTGTGACTTCACTGGCAGAGGGGAGAAATTCTTGAMAAGTCCCAGTTCACTGCCAGGCAGCCCCCAGGCTCCATTTTCCATTTTCTGCTGGGAAATTTCAGAAGCTGAGCTTGGGTCCTGAAGGGCAGTGGACAGAGGCAGCTTGACCAAATAGTCTGGAGGAGGCTGCAGGGATTGTTTCCTTCTGTTTGACAGAAGAGCGGGATTATTTATTTAAAGGTTATGAAAATATGTTCCTGCAGGTGCTTGAATGCCACCCTTGATGGAAGCCAAGCCTGAGAAAATTCAGTGACAGCCGTGTGAGGCTGGGGGTGGTTTGTGAGCCTAAAATCCTACCCAGCACCACAAACACACACGAGATTCCCGGGATCTGAAGGGCTGTTTGGGGATAACAACACCTGGCGTGAGGAATTGCTGAAATAAGGAGGGTATAGAAAGAAAGGAGGAAGGAAAAGCAAAGGAGGGGAATAGAGAAAGGCGCGGGGAGAAACGGGGAGGAGAAAAGGCAGGGAAGGGAAGGGCGGAGGCGACAGAAAGGCAGAGAGGGAAAGARAGGATGGGGGAAAGAAAGGGAAAGGAAGGGAAAAGCGTTTATTGTGCAAAGCTCGCTCTGGCCGCGGTGTGACCGCGGTGTGTCCCCGGGGGAAGCCCTCCCGGTCCCGGTCCCGTGTCCCCAAAGGCTCCCGGTCCCGTGTCCCAAAAGGCTCCGGTCCCGTGTCCCAAAGGCTCCCGGTCCGTGTCCCCAGAGGCTCCCGGTACCGGTCCGGTGTCCCCAAAGGTTCCCGGTCCCGTGTCCCCAGAGGCTCCGGTCCCGTGTCCCCAAAGGCTCCCGGTCCCTGTCCCCAGAGGCTCAGGTCCCGTGTCCCCAGAGGCTCCGGTCCCGTGTCCCCAAGGCTCCCGGTCCCGTGTCCCAAAAGACTCCGATCCCGTGTCCCCAGCGGCTCCCGGTCCATGTCCCAGAGGCTCCGGTCCCGTGTCCCAAAGGCTCCCGGTCCCGGTCCCGTGTCCCCAGCGGCTCCCGCCGGGCCCTCCCCGCTCTCCCGCTCTCCCGAAGCTCCGCGCACAGGCCGGGCCGGGCCCGGGGCCGTTCCGCGGGCACTCACGATCCCTGCGCACCCCGTGTCCTGCCCGCTGTCCCCGGTGAGATCGCARCCCCGCAGCGGGGCCCAAGGTCAGCCCGGCGGCAGCGGCCGCGGCCCGGCCGGGCCCAGAGAACCGCGGCCTGCGCTCCCCGGGCGCCTGCGCGGCCGCGGCACCGAGCGGGCCCCGAGCGGAGCGGGAGGGAGGGAGGGACGCACCTGCGCGGGGGGCGGCCATGGCGGAGCGCGCACGGGAGCGCGCACGGGGAGCGCGGAACGGGAGCGCGCACCGGGAACGCGCAGAACGGGAGCGCGCACTGAGGGAGCGCAGCGCCCGGAGCGCCCGGCCCGGCGCGGCCCCGCGCCGCCGTCTGACGTCACCGCGCCGCCGCGCGCCGAGCCTGCGCATTGGGCGAGACACGCCTCCGAGCGTGACAGCCAATCACGAGGCGAGGAGGACATGGACACGCCCCTCCAGGGGGTGGGGCAAAGGCGAGCGGGCGACGGCGGGAGCGAGGGTGAGCCGAGCGTATCCGATCCGAGCCGAACGGGGCCGATCCGAGCCGAGCCGAGCCGAGCCGATCCGATCCCATCCGATCCGAGCCGAGCCGAGCATACATATGGTTTATATCAAAGTGACAAAGTGCTTATGAGGCCTATTAATTGAAAACTTCCTATAGCCTTTTTATACGTTATTAATGTAAGAATGTAATAACTTTTTACATATTATTAAAATACAATGTTATCGTTTTCAATATATTATCAATGATAGCCTTTTTATATATTGCTGTAAGTTTTTTTATAGTGTATTTAATAGTATTTTAATAGTGTATTTAATAGCAACATATAGTGTACCAGCTGCATGTAATCTAACCAGCTGGGTTAGTACATAGACAGGTGAAATCACCAAGGGGCATAAATCAGAAAAAGTTCTGAAAAAAGGAAACAAGTAGATGCTATAAAAAGGAACAGTAGAGAGCACGAATGAGAACTTGGCAGAGGCACGGGACAGTCAGCAGAATAATTGGGAATTACGATTTGGAGGGCTACTAAAACCCATGAACATCACAACTGCGCATGAAGACAAAGGTGGAAAGTCCACCGTGATGAAGAGGATGGGATCTCATTAGAGGGAGACCCCCACGACCACCGAATTGAGGATGATACACACTTGTAAAACTGTGATATCGTGTATTTCCGTGCCCATATATAGTGGTGGATGTATGGGGGGCAGTGACCATGATAATATTACATCATGCTTACCGTATAAATGTGTGCTAATTGGAAGGGAATGCAGGTGGGTTAGGAGGAGAAATCCCCCTCACCTCCAGCACTGCAATAAACAAATACCTGCTCTGTAAATAAATAAACAAATACCTGCTCTGTAAATAAATAAACAAATATCTGCTCTATAAATAAATAAACAAATACCTGCTCTGTAAATAAATAAACAAACACCTGCTCTATAGACACCGGTCTATGGGGTTTTATTTCTAAGCCTTTTTCGGGCATC